CCCTCTCTTCTTATCAGCTGGACGCTTCATTCTCTACTCTAGTCCTCTGTGGCTATGTCACTGACTCTGGGTCCAAGAGTCCCCAGGTCTTGCCACACTACTGGTTAACCAGGGCTCCACCCAGGTTCACAGACATCTATTGAACATTGTAGGGCTTCGCTTGCAGCTTCATTGTTGTTTTTCCCTCACTTCCTCTTATTGGTGACGAGTGTGGTCACCAATCAGAACGTGTATTCCCATTGAGTCTTCGTCTTGGAAGGGGGTTTACATAAAGATGCACTCTTAACCTACACTGGAAACCTTTCTGGAAAACAATAACAAAGCTACTTGTAAAACCCTGAGCTGTAAATTCCAGACAAGCATAGGAAAATGACGACGAAAGACAGACTACACGGCTGCTGGTTGTCTCTAGGGAGAGAGTGGAAAGGCTCTGAAGAGTGCTCACGAAAGGATACGGCCTCTAAGTGGTGACACATGCAGCCATTAAAAATCTGTGGAGAATCTCCAGAGATGGGAAATTCCCACTTGAAAGGACGAGCAAACCAGCCTGGAGCAGCTAGAAGAACAGAAGATACTTCTTGAAAGAAAGACCTACAGGAAAAATACAAAACAATAGAGGCAGATGGACTGTTACTATAAGAACAAACAAATTAAAAAAAGAACAAATTGCTTGCCCAGGAAACATCAAGGCAAGTCGACGGGTCCCCTCAATGCAAACCCCCCTTCAAGACTAAGACTCAACGGAAATACGCGCTCTGATTGGTGACCACACGCATCGCCGATAGGGGGATGTGGGGTAAAAGCAGCAATGAAGCGGCAAGCGAAGCCCTACAATGTTTAGTGGGCTTCTGTGGACCCTGATGGGGACCTGGTTGGCCAGCAGTGTGGGGAGACCTGGGGACTCCTGGGCCCAGAGTCAGCGGCATGGCCACAGAGGACTAAAGTGGAGAGTGAAGCTACCAGCTGATAGGAAGAGAGGGCATATGCACAAGAACACCCACACTTGCAGATGGTACCCATGTGACCTGGCTCCGATGACTGGATGATCAGAGCTCAACCAGGAGAAGAAAGAAGAGGGAAAAAAAAGAGTGATCTGATACAATTTGATGAACTTGACCTACACCTATGGATGCAGTATCCCAAAAAAGGGAACAAATCCTTACAGCAAGAAACATTCCCACCCCCTCCACACACAAGAGTAGACAGGGATGGGCAACTTGGACATTGGATACCCAAATTGGGGGTGGGGAGGACTACAAAGGCAAGAAGTGACTGGCTTACAAGCTTTCAAGAGGGAACCTAGAGCTAGAGGGCATGGAGGAAGGCAGAATCTCCAGTGAGTACTATCCAATCTATCTAGGCGGAGCTGATGAAATGAAATGCAGAAGGGTCACTTGTGATACAATAGTGAATGCTTGTTATCAGGACTGATT